ACAGTAGAACTTGTCGGTAGTTCAAGTGAAAAAGAAAAACTTGTTAATTGTAAGTCTATCTTTATATTGAGCTCAAAACTCAAGAAATTATTTATAACTTTAGATATCAAAAATCTTCATGAACATTTCAAAATTAAAGAAGTTCATAGTATTGAAAGTCCAACAAATATAATTTATCAGTTAAGGTAATAATTTATGATAAATTTATATATTCAATTAAATAGATTCCACTTTAGATTTGAAGATCAAAGTGACGTAAAGATGGTTAAATTCATGTTAAAATCCTCGGAAAAGATTATTCAATTGACTATCGCATCAAGTCAAATAGCATCAATATGACGTGTTTTTTTCTCTGACCTTTTTAACGTAGGTAAAGTTAGCAGCAGATTCGAGTTTTTTGCGAAAATATTCGCCTACAGACTTGTGCCAAAAAAGATGTTGATTGTGCCAGATAGAGCATCGAATGTACTATAGAATTCATACCTTTCAAAAAAATTCATCGTAACAAAATGGTCAAAAATTAAAAAGGACTACTTTTCAAGCACTGTTTTTAGCGAAAAAACCAGTACTTCGGTCTAATATTCGTTTCAATACCTATGCCAGTTTCAGAAAACGACTGTGCTAGATAGAACTCGATGAGATCTATCAATTGATACCAAATTCAACCTAGTTCATCATCAACATGAGTTCCTAGCTCAACAAAAGCTTGTCAAGCAGCAGATTTGAGCTGGTATTATGAGTAAATATTGAGACATAGAGTTGTGCGGGTGTAAGTGTGGGTGTGGGGTGGGCGTGGGTGTGCCTGTTCTGTCTTCTGAACAGCCGGATCCATATCCTTTACTTGTGAACAACGAATGTATGAAAAAGAAGTACTCAAGATTACGTTATCACTCGAATGTTAGTTTCAACTGATAAATTAAACATCATGAACAATTATTTAATTTGTAATATTCATGGGCTGGACTATACCGAAAAACAAGCCGAACGTGACATACAATGTTCTAATGCACTGACTTTCATTGACAAGATGCCAACTATTATATTCAACTCTCTTTTCACACCATCGTTCATCCCGTTCGTATAAGTCTCGACACGATTATTTAATCAAACATAAACTACGTTGGACTTGATATTAAACAATTGATCTCATTGAGATCGAGCTGGCACAAGTGCTTTCTTAATTGGCACAACTCTCTGTCTCAATATTTACTCATAATACCAGCTCAAATCTGCTGCTTGACAAGCTTTTGTTGAGCTAGGAACTCATGTTGATGATCAACTCGGTCGAATTTCATATCAATCGATAGTTCTCATTAAGAACTATCAGGCACAAGTGCTTTCTTAATTGGCACAACTCTCTGTCTCAATATTTTTTCATAATCCGAGCGCAAATCTGCTGCCTGACCGGCTTTTGTTGAGCTAGAGACTCATGTTGATGATGAACTACGTTAAATTTGATATCAATCGATAGATCTCGATGAGATCGATCTGGCACAAGTGTTTTCTTAATTGGCATAACTCTCTGTGTGAATATTTACTCATAATATCAGTCAGAATCTGCTGCTAACTGATCTCGGGACGACTGAAGACCCATTTCGATGATGAGCTAGGTTGAATTTGGTATCAATCGATAGATCTCATCGAGTTCTATCTAGTACAGTCGTTATCTGAAACTGGCATAGGCATTGAAACGAATATTAGACCGAAGTACTGGTTTTTTCGCTAAAAACAGTGCTTGAAAAGTAGTCCTTTTTAATTTTTGACCATTTTGTTACGATGAATTTTTTTGAAAGGTATGAATTCTATAGTACATTCGATGCTCTATCTGGCACAGTCAACATCTTTTTTAGCACAAGTCTGTAGACGAATATTTTCGCAAAAAACTCGAATCTGCTGCTAACTTTACCTACGTGATCTATTCGTGTAACACCTCTCTTAGTATATTTTTTTGGCTGGTATTTAACACATACTTTTACATAAAATAAGATAGAATATCTGTTTCAACTGAATTCCCATAGTTAGATGATTGATTATATTTTAGTGTAATGAACAGTTACCTGAAGAACAAAATTTTGTTTTATTACCTTTATTAATGAATATTGATATTGCCGATGATGATGATGATAGTATAAAGCGAGGGTATTGATTTTTTAAAAATATTAATATTTAATTTTAATTTATTTAAAGTTTTTGAGAAAGAAACCATGCTTAATATAAATGCATTTTTTTGAATTTAAACAACGTACATGTCACACACATTCATTTCCATTAGCACAATTAATTTATCATGCTCAACATATAAATGATTATTATACTTTACCACAAAATATTGGTACACAAACAAATCGTCGAATATCAGTACCATCAGCCAACGATTCTATAAGTAATTTACTTAGAATAGAATGAGAGAATAAAAAATGGTGGAATTTATTTTTTGTTTTATATTCTTTTTTTCTTATTATCACTTGTGTGTTTGTGTGTATACACTATCTAAGCATCTCTCTTGAAATGATCATTTTCAACGCCATTTCGGACGTTAAATACGTCATAGTTGATATGGAAATTCAGTTGAGTTTGGAATGCATGTGAATAATATGAGTCACACAATAATTAATGTTTGTTTACTATTGTATTCAACTTTTATAATTTTATCGATTCTAAATGATTGGTCGAACTTCTATGATTTATTTTGAATTATTTTAAAATATTTACATATAGAAAAGTTTCATTTTTAACCATTCTTATTTAGTGAGTATTAGAATTTTATGAATTTTATTCATCTTCTTATAATTAATCGATCGATATTCGGCGTTGTGGAATATTCAATCAAGAAACATATTCTATGTCTATTTTTTTTAATTACACAAATTTTTTTTTTCATGCGAATCTCTTTAAAAAAAATGAGTATTCTTAATTCTAAACTAGAATCTTATATTGATAAACTTTCTCACAATAAGTCTATTGAATACATATTCAACAATCCGTTTATAGTCGAATTGTTACTCAATCAATCCAACATCAGATCGACTACTATTCTAAATAGCATGAATCATTTAATTTCAATTTTTTAACAACAACTGCTGCCACAAGACATCTCATTTTAACCTTCCCATCAGATTTATAATTGCTTCGTTCTGGGTCATGCTTGTGAACTGCACAAATGTGCTGGAATAAAGTTATCGGAAACTTAATGGTAGAATAGAAGGACTCAATGCTCAAAAGAATAAACTAGTCACTAGACCCAGTTCTAAAAAGAAAAGTATTTACATGACACAGTTCCTGAAAAAGAACTCTTACTTCGACACAGTGCTCAAAAAATAACCGTTCAGTTGGCACAGTTCTTGAAAAAGAACTGTTTCTTTGACACAGTTCCAGAAAAAGAACTGTTCCTTTGACACAGCTCTCGAAAAAGAACTGTTCACTGGACTCAGTATGCCGATATTGATATCACCTTCTACTGATCTTTCTTTCCTCTTTCCATGTAACGACAAACTGGATTGAGTAGCTTACCGCCACTCTCGGTAATGATGTTTATCTAGCTAGTTCACATATCCAGAATGTAACTACTTCACATACAACGCACGCTTATATAGGACAGAAGAGAGAGAGGGAGAGAGATGAATACAGGAAAGAACAATAGAGAGAGACAAGGAGGAAAGAAGAAAAGAAGATCAGTGGAAGGTGATATCAATATCGGCACACTCACGAGGGAAGGTCACCAAACTGTTCAATCGCTTTTGAGTCGAAACTATGTGCATCATGTAGGTCCTAATGAGCTATGAATACACTGAAAAGAGTTTGGGCCGCTAGCTTATTACTGTCGAGATACTGCATTTTTAAGATATTGTTAAGCAGAATGCCGTGATCCTCTCAGGATCACCAGCAAAACTGAGTTTTGAATTTCGATTTGAAATTTGGCACACAAATAGATCTCAATGAAAGTGGCTTCTTCTGAAAGTTTCAGATCTTTTGGTTGTTCCTATTCTGAAATAAGAACATCAGAACCCACCAGGGGTATACAAACAGTGTAAAAACGCCCTTTTTAGTTGTATCTTAGGATAGGAACAACCAAAAGATCTGAAACTTTCACAGCAAACTACTCTCATTGAGGCCTGTTTCTGCGCAAAGTTTCAAGTTAAAACTCGAAACTCAGTTTTTCTGGTTCCTGAGGGGAATCACGGCATTGTGCTTAATTAAAAATACCACAAAAATGCAGTATCACGACAATAATAAGCTAACAGTCCGAACTTTTTTCAGGGTACTCAAAGCTCACTAGGGCCTACATGATGCACATAGTTCCGACTCAAAAGCGATTGAACAGTGGTGACCTTCCCTTGTTAGTTCTCAAAAAAGAATCGGTTTATTGAACTAAGAGCTGCTGCAGGTTTAACATCAGGCACAAGAACTGAAGTTTATGTACTTTTTATCTGATAGCGAGACTTCTTGCGACTACTGTATATTAATCCGATGAAAATCATACTAACATATTCTATAAATTTCTTTATCTGTAAGATAGATGTCCATCGCGTCTGGAAATCTGTCAATGCCGCGATGATTTTTGAGAAACTCTTCGAAAATCTCTTCCATCACCGTGCTAAATTAACATAGTTAGATTGAACCCATCAGATTCACCACGATACTGAGTATTGGACTTGTAGACGCTCAAACCGGGTGCAAGCAAATTCATGGAATTTGACAATCTCCCTAAAGAAGAAGCTTGATGCCATCGTGGCAGTATCGTCAAAGATATTTGTGATCTATATAAAGTGAATATGAGTTTGTTTTTTTGTTAAATCTTATCCCTGATAGATTCATACATTACATCAAAATCAAAAAAAAAACAAGAAAAATGCAAATACATAGTTAGAAACAAAAACGAAATAAAAGAAGGTAAACCGAAAAACGAGTGAAAAAAAATGAAATTCACAGCGATGCTTAGTTTTTGTATTCTGTTGTTTTGTAAGGATGATCTTCGATCATATAAAACAAAAAAGAATAAATTATTTACATTTTGTACGTATACGTTTATAATAACGTTGTGCTAATGAATTAATAATTGATATAATAAAATATGCAATCATAGCAGCAACAAATAAATTAAATATTTTAGTTAATGTTGATATTCTTGTTATATGATTAGTTAAATGTTGACCTGGTTTTCTATGCATATTCATTTTTTGTTCATGTAACCAATCTTTAAATGGTGTTTGTAATAAATTACCATAAAATGGTATATGTTTCATGCAACGTATCATACGTTCAACATGATGTTCACTAAATAAAAATATAATAAATATTGTTTGTATACTCATTTTAATCAAAGCTTTGCCAATAATTGTTGCAAAAAAAAATCTCGAAAATGATATTAAAAAATAACCACATGTTATACCAGCTAAATCAAATAATGGATTTGGTATACTTGCACATAATAATATACCAAAAAATCCAATACGTTCAATAAGACGATATACTGAATAACGTAAACGTTGAAATAATGTTAAATTTTGAGAACTATTTAATTCAGCATCAATTATTAATCTTTTGAAATCAATTAATCCTTCATCATCATCTACATCAGTTGTACCTAAACGTGCAGCACGAGCCATAAAATATGGTGGTAATTCACCAAATGCTGTACCTAAACCCCAAAAAAATGCTTCTAATTTAACTTTCCATAATATATTCCAAAATGATATTGATTTTGTTTCTAATAAATCTGTTAGAATTGTTTCATCTATTCTTGATGATAATGGACAAACAATTTCATTTGGATATGGTGGACGAGGAAATTTTATTGATCCACATTCATATGCTGCTAATGTTACTTGAGCAATAAATGGACCAAGATAGAGTAAAAATGTATGTAAACCTGTACCTAATCCAATAGATGATGCAACACCAAGACCAAACCAATATAATGTCCAAAAAAATAAACTTTCTATTTCATGAATACTTTTTTGATGTGAACCTTCAGATTTATAAATAAATAAGAAAAATAATAATAATATACTTGAAAGAAATAAAGTTTTTCGATAGGATAATAAATGTTTAAAATTATGATGAATTAAATAAATTATTTCAAGTAAACAATAATGAATTGTATTTATTGGTTGTCGCCATAAAACAATTTTATCTGTTTCATTACGTATTATTTCTTGTTCACCTTTCTTACGAATTAATATTTGTTGTCTTTCTTCAAGTTCTTCATCATGTTGTGATATTGATCGTATCAATTTACTAAAACATTTTAAAAAATAAAATTTAATATAATATAATAATAATAATAATTAATTTACGCATTTTTTAGTTCAAGCAAATTCTCTTGTTGCTTTGTTTTTCGTTGATGAGTAGACGATGAAGATAAACCATTTGTCGTATGAGACTCGATACCAGCTGCTAAATTCATTTATCCACAAATTGTATAAAGCATTATTTTATATAGAATATTAGCAAAAAATGTTATTTTCTGATTTAAACAGCAAAAAACAATAATATCTAAGATTAACAAATAACAGCAAGGTCAAAAAAAAATAACACGAGGTACTCATGTGATAAATAATATGACAACATATTTATTCACTTATCTCAGTATAAATCAAAGAATGAAAAGAAAAAAAAAGGACGATTTGCCTATATCTTATCTTTAACAGATTATACTCAGATGAAATAACAAGCACGAGATATCCAAATGTTTTTTGGATACTAAATAGTACAATAATAATTATATAGTAGGTTATATGACTCATTATTTTATTATATCGCCACGTAAAACTCTTATTTACGAAGAAGAAAACCAATAAAAAGTCAAATAAAATACTCTATAAAAAAAAAACGAAAATCATTTTTATTTTTTATTTCCTATTGACATCTATCGATAAAAAAAAATCAATGGACAATCAAAGTAACCATAATGGAAATCAATTATTTGACATATTTCATTTTTATTATTTTTCTAAAAATAAACGTCTAATTCTCTAGATTAAGAATTTTTCATATAAATACATTAAACATTAAGAACAACAAATATCAATGAAATTCACAATAACTATCGAAGAGTTTTTTTAATCAAAAAAATTTTTTTTTTGCGATGTTTAACATTTGATTAGTTAGGCACCTTAAAATACAATAGATTTTATTATGAGAAAATTAATAATATATATTATCTTGGTTAAAAATACATTTACATATGTTATTTGTAATAATCATCAATAATTCGTTTTAAATCTACACAAAAAAACAAGAATTAAATCTATTATATACACTATGTAAAATTTGATCGAAACTTCATCAAAATTAATTTCATAAAATTGACTATTATTTTATTTTCAGATTTATCTATAACAACAAATTATAAACAAGATATTACTACAAAAATATGACTAAATAATTATTATACCATTGAGACATTTAACAATGAATATATTGCTCTTGGTTTAATTACACTTATTATAATATAATATATTTATATATTCATTTAAATAGAAAAAAAAAAGTTATGTTATTTTAGATAATAATGTCATTATCTGAAGAAGCAAATAAATTTTCTCGTGATAAAGTTCAATGGTTACTTGAAAATCAATGTCGAATACCAGTTCGTTCGACAACACCAATTAGTTATTATTATAAAACAGCAGATAATTTAATTGAACAAGCTGATCATTATTTTACAACAAATCAATTCGAACAAAGTTTTATTCTTTATTCAAGATATATAACGTAACTCTACTTATATAATTAATAATAAAATAATTAGAAATATTTTTTTTATTTAAGATTATTTGTCGAAGAACTTAAACAACATCATCGAGATTATCCTAATGTATCAATAAATGATCGAGAACGTGTTAAAGATGTAAAAATTTTATTTTATATTTATTTTTTGCAAAAAACAAAAAAAAAACTAATTAATAGATTATTCGTACAAAAGCTCTTCCACGTGCAGAAGAATTAAAAGATAAATTAAAAGAAAAATATATTAGAGAATATGAAGAAAAACAGGTATTCAAATACAAAATAAAAAAGTTCAATTATTTATTCAGAATTTGTTTTTTTGTTTTTTATAGAAAACAATAGATGAATATGAAGAAGATAATTTGAAAATAACAACTACAACATTAAGTTGTGCACCAATAAAGTAAGAATATTATTAAATGATTAGAATCATCATTATTTTTCTACGATTAAATTACAAATAATGACATAGATGAGATCACAATAATAAAAAAAAAGAGAAGAGATTTTAAAAATGATGCAATAGTATTTCTTCCTTGTATCAAAACAAAAGAAATAATAAACGAAGTTCTTTTCAAATAAAATAAGTCTTCTATTTTTATCTTAGTATTCAACATGAAAACAAATTAACATCTCAACAGCTAACAGATAATTATGTACAATTACCATTAACACATATAGCTTCATCTCTTCTATCAACAACTAATGACAATTTTGGACAAATGAGTAACAAACCTGACAAGTAAATGAAATTTCTGTGTGTTTTATTTTAATTTGATTTTCTTATTAAAGAACAACATATGATTATTCTCAAGAAACAGCAACAAGTATATTTTTTAATCATTAATTATTTATTTTATTTTATTTCGAAATAGATTCAATAAATCCTAATAAAATGTTATATCGACAAATTTCTATTCCAAATGATATAACATTAAAATTTCTCCAAGTAGCTGAACAAAATACAGGTTACATAAATATGAATATCTAATAAATATTTTAAAATAAATATATTTTAGCCAAAAATGTCTATACATATGGTATTCTTGCAGGAAATAAAGTTAGTTATTTAATTTAATTTTTTTTTAATTAAAATATTTATCTATTAGAAAGAGAATAATGAATATATGATAACACATATTGTTATACCAAAACAAAATGGTGGAATAAGTAAAAATATATTTATATTTGAAAAGTTTTTTTTAATTTAGTTCTATAATTGAAATATTTAAGATTCATGTTATATAGAAAAACAAGAAGAAGAAATGTTTGAATATATTTCAAATAATAATTTAATAACTCTTGGCTGGATTCATGTAGTGATTCTTATTTTTAAAATAAAATAATAATTTTGTTTGTAAATAGACTCATCCAAATGAAAGAGTATTTTTATCAAGTATTGATCTTCATAGACATATATTATATCAAATGTTAATTCAAGAAGCAATTGCTATTGTTATTAGTCCAAAATTTAATCAGTTAATTTATTATTTTATAGTTTTATATAATTTATATATTTATTTATATAGAACTGAAATATTTTCAATGACAGATGATAGAGGAATACCAGTTATATCAGCGTGTCAAATGTCAGATATTCATCAACATGTTAATCATCCTCCATTATATGTTGTAAATAAATAATAATATAATACATTTTTTTTCTTTTATTTATTTATTTATTTGTTTAAGATTTCATCACATACAAATTATGATTTGGATTTAGAATGTAAAATAATCGATCTTCGTCATTGATTGATATTGTTCAAAATGCAATATGTAGTTTTTTTTTTGTTTTGTTAGTTCGTGTCTAGAGATTTATTATTATTTAAAAATATCTTTCCTAAGAGAAGATTTTTTTTTTTTCAATGATAAATACTTCATATTGTTTTGTTTTGTCTTATTTTATTGTTGTATTTTTCTTTTTTTACAAGAATATATATGAAGAAAAATTCTCTAAAGTATTTAATAAACAAAATTCATTTTTCTAGTTCAATATCAAATCAAAATGGTTATTCTCTTTTGTTTTTCTTCTAATTTTTTAATAAGAGCTGTACTCGTTAAATCGTTTTAAAGGTATAAGGAGCAAGAAAAGTTCATTTTTGATCAAGAGGATCAAGAGTAAGAAATAATTTATTTATTGGCTCGCGGATCTACCAATGGAAGAAATTCCATAATAAAAAAAATGTATGAAAATTTTTTTCATAAGTAGGATAAAAATTAATGAAATATTTGAGTAGAACATTTGAGAATATTTTATAAATAATTATTTTAAAAAAAATGGTCATATTGTATATCAATAAAATGCCGATATCTTCTCATAGGTATGAATTTCTAACTAAATAAATCCAATAGTATTCAATCTTTTAAGTCGATGAATCATTAAATCTGATGAAATTGGTAACGCATCAGGATTTTCGTTTTTTTATTTTAAGATTTTTTTTTCTTGCGTTATACAATTGTGCTGTTAAAAATCTCTATTATTAATAATTAGGAAAAAATTGTTTTAACTAAATAAAAAATGGCTAAAGTTCTAACAACAGCTTCAAAATGTGTACCGAACTTAATTGTATATATTTGATATTGTAATAAAATAAAAAAAACTAAAATAAATTTCTCTAAATAGACTCTTTCATCAAAGGCATCAACAATAAATATTCGTTCATCATCACCTATTCACCGATCATATTCAATTCAATTGGGACGTTATTCATCATCAAATAATAATATTCATTTACATAAACAAAATCATATTTCAATAACAAATCATAATCGATTAGTACAACCGAATTGTTTTATCTATCATGATCCACTTTTTATATCGGTAAATTTTTTTTTTTTATATAAATAAATATTTATTTTCTTTTGAAAATGATTTTAGAAACGAGGAAATGCATCACAACCTAAAGGATTTTTTGGTTCATTAATAGATAATATTAAAGAAGAACTTAATAAAAATAAGGACATTAAAGTAAGATAAACATTTTTTAATTTAATTAAAATATGTTTTTTTTTTCTTTCTTTTTTAAGGATAATATTAAAAAATTTCGTGATCAAGCTAAAAAACTTGAAGATAGTGATGCATTAAAAGAAGCTCGAGATAAATATGTTAGTTCAAATTTATTTATCAAAAAACAAAAAAAAAACGTTTTTCTTCTTTTTTTCTTACTAACAGAAAGTATTAGAACGTGAAACAATGAAAAGTTCGGCTGTTCTTCGAGAAAAAATTGGTGAAATTGGTGAAAAAGTTAAAGAAGTAAGATTTTAAATAAATTATTCATTATTAGATTTATTTTTATTTTTTTTTGCAACAGAGTGATGTTATGAAAAAAGCATCGGATATTGGCTATGAATTAGGCAAACAAGCACAAAAAGCTGCAGAAAAAATCTCTGAAACAACCGAACAAATAACTGATACAGCTGCTTTTAAAAAAGTTTCTCAAGTAAAATATTCAAGATCTATTGAAATTTATTAACATTTTCATTTTTATTTATTTGGTTTTTTTTAAAGCGTTTAAGTACAATTAAAGAAGAAGTTGGTGATGCTACTAAATTAACAAGACAATTAGGTTATCGACCACCAGCAGTTTTACGAAAACGAACTGATACTGATTCAGTTAAAAAAGAAAAAGTCTTTCATGCTGATACGTAAGTTAAACATTTTGACATTCAATTATATCCTACTCAAATTCATCTCACATAGACTATTTAAAAAATTTTACTTCCATATATTTAATTAGAAAGATTTCTATCAACTACTTTCATCAGTATAAACATCAATATACATATTCATTATATTTCCTATAGTTCTTACATATCTGATACATCATGCTCTTTTTTATTATTAACCAAAGTCCATAAGATCGACATCTATAGAATCTACTACGGTGCATTCACTAGAGCCCATTGGATCCGGACCCGATTCCGAATTGTACTCTTTGATATGTAATGAAATTTTTTTAATTCGCACCTGATAACTTCCAGGAACACACCCTTAACAGTTCTGAAGCAATCTCGAACATGATCTTATAGGAATCAATTTATAATTGGCTCTTTTCCTCAGAGTAGTACTCATCAAGTCAGACCCGAACGCAGTCAATAGGACATTTTTGGACTCGGACCCGACCGGGTTCGGGTCCAGAAATTCTTGGATTTGATGGACTCTACCCACAAAAGATCAGTCAAGTAGATGCGAATTCAGCAATTTTGATCGATCTGATCCGGATCCAAAAAAACTTTATCGAACCGGATTGAACAAATTTTAATCAATCGGATCCACATCCGAAAATTCTTGATCCTAATGGGCTCTACCAGCCGATCTGGATTTTTCAGACTGGTACCGGTCTTGAAAAAACTAGACCGGCTGATAGAACCCATCGGATTCAAGAATTTTTGGACCCGACTGATTAAAATTTGTTGGATCCGGTCGATAAAATTTTGTTTTGGATCCGAACCAGATTGATCAAAATTGTTGGATTCACACCTAGTTGATTGATCTTTTGTGAGTAGACCCTATTGGATCCAAGAATTTCTGGACCCGATGGACTGGTACAGCGATAATAGATTGATTCTTACAATGAAATTTCTTTTAATAGTGAACTTTCTCAAGTTTACCATTTAGATGATGACCCTGAAATAGGTAAACATTTATGTATAAATATTTAATATGTGCTTTTCGGTTGAAAAAAACTTCAATATCAATATGAATCTATTACAAAACATTAGCACATAAATTTTGAGATATTTCAAAAGCATGATCTAAGTAAGTAACTTGACAGAGTTTATTGTAAGAATCGATCTATTATTGGTATATCGGTAGACTGACTAGTTGCTGATACTGTTTTCATCGATGAATTTCTTAAGAGAAAAAAATTGAACTTCTTGTTTTCGTTATTGAATTTGTTTGATGATTAAATAGATCTCTTCTTCCATATCCTAAATGACATTTTCTTGCCTCTTCTTGATGTCATCCAATATTAAAGTATTTCGTATAGATACGTCGTTGTTTAGATAAAATATTGTTTTATTTTTAGAGAAACCCAAACGATAACTGTACACAAAGATTCTCAATGGTTTCAAAGTTGGCAAAATTTTAAAGAGAATAATACTTATTTACATAGTTTGTATTATTATTATTTTCTGGTTTTTTCTTAATGTTATATATTGATTAATTTAAATAAATAGAATTATTTGATCTTAAATCAAAGTATGATGAAAGTGATAATTTAGTAGTACGTGTTGCAAGAACATTTACAGATAAAGTATCAGGAGCATTATGTATGTATACAAAATGAATTGATAAATAAAAATAAATTTGTTTTGTTTTATTTTTTTGAAGCATCAATATTTAGTCAATCGGAAACAAGTGAAGCTTTAACAGAAATATGTCGTATTGATCCAACATTTGATGTCGAAAAATTTATTCGTATTGTTCAATATGATATTATTCCGAATATACTTGAAGTAAAAATAAATATTATTTTATTAAAATCAAATCTTTTTTTTTTATTAAAGTCTCTAGCACGTGGTGAATTAGAAATTTTAAGAGATTGGTGTACGGAAGCTGTAAGATATATATATATATATTATTTATTTTATAATATATTTCATATTTGTTAAGGTTTACAATGTACTCATTCATCCGATAAATGTATCCAAAGCATTAAATCATAAATATCATTTAAAAATTATTGATCTTGGTGATGCTGAGGTAACAACTTTTTCTTTTCTATAAAGAAAAAAGTTCTTCTTATTCTCATTCTCAATGGACAGTCTCCTGGATTTGATCCTATTTAGTGTCTAACACCTAACTCCCTAATTAATGAGATCTCGATGACTTTGAAAGTATCTAACGAATGTAGAACCCCATCGGATCTGAATTGAAAGAAAATTTAGATGCGTCTAACAATATTTTCATTTTCGTTCATTTTATTCCAAAACTCATAAATCTATGTATAAAATAGATTGGACATTTTTGGATTTGTAAAATGTGATTGACTTATCAGAACTTTTTATTAAATCGACAAGTACCTTTTTCTTTCGAGATAGATTGATACTATCTTTTATTTTTTCATCTATAGAATTTAGTAAAGGCAAATGTATTATTTATAATTCAATCTTTGTTAACCCTTTGGTCATCGGCATAAATGAAGGAAGAAACGATTTTTGAGAAAATTTATTCATTTTTCTATGGAACGATTGTATAATGTGCTTTTATAAAAATGGTGATTTGGAAAGTGCATGGTGCCTAACATTTGGTTTTAGGCAAATGCTTCTAAAAAACATACATTATGAATGATTAGTTCAATTCATAATAAGATCATACATTATCAATCTTACGACATCGAATTGTCAGTAAGATCTTCGTACGTTTTTTCCACTTGGAAATTTACATTAAAAATCTAATTTGATATATGTTTTCTTTGTTTTCGAAATGAGCGAAATTCTATGTACTCAATTTTCAATGCTGCGAAAAGTGTTCACATAGAATTTAGCTTTGTTCTAAAAACGAAAAAAAAATCTTTACTTTGTAGAAGTTTTCATGGTGCATCTTATAGGATATTTTCTTTTTAAAATAAACGTACTAAATGATAAAAACAAATTCGGATTAGAAAACTGTACTGAGAACTTTAAGAGTAAGGTTCAAGTCTGAACTAACAAAAAATGAATCACTGAGGTCAGGATCCAGAAATTCTCGGACTCAATGGACTCTAGCCGGATATCGATTAACTTCAGTTAGGGTCTGATTGCGAAAAGTCATACCAGTGCAGGACGTTAGTTTCACCCCGTTTCGGTTCCTTTCCAGTTGGTTCATAATTAGTAATTAAAATAATTCATTCTTGATTAGTTATTGATTGAGCAGGAATCTATCGAATAATCCGATTTAAATCAAATGAATGATAATTATTTATATAAGAATTAAATAAGGTGTAAATTTTTCCAATTAATTTAATTTAGCTTGTTGCCGCTAAAATCATGGAAATGGGACCTGTTCTTGTAGTGACATTTCAAGCTCAACAAATAGCTTATATATCTGATGCAAATGGGAAAGTAGTTGAAGGAGATCCGGTAAATTGTTTACACGATTTTTTAAATAATATTTCTAATATTAATTTAATTTATTTTTTTTAAGGAACAAATAAATCGAATAAATTATATCTTTGCCCTTGGTCGTGATCCAACCATTCTTGATCCATTATCAGCTTGGCGTTTAGTTGATTTAAGTGCATCAAAAGTGAATCATTTTGTTTGATAACAGTATCCTTTGTTTTGTTGATTGGTTTTTTTCTTTTTAAGAAAAAAAAATAAATTTGATTCAGTCTAGGATTTTTTTTTTTTTGTTAATCGAACATAATGCATCATTGATCTGATGTTATACTAATCATAACTAGTTAATGGATAGATCAATCAAATAAAAAAAAAAAAAAACGTATGACAGACATATGCACATTATTGAAAAAGTAAATATTGAATCTATATAAACACATTTATTTTTACATAATCATCAACAAACAGAACATAGATCAAAGAAAATATATACATTTTCAGGTTTTTTTTTTTTTTTTGTTTGACAAGTTTTTGATCGATTGAGATAGAGAAAACATCAATATCTAATTTATATTATATATATCTAAACATATGTTTACTTATAATAATAATTAACATTTCAATATGTGTCAGATATACGATTATCAATTATAAAAGGAAAATCATTTTCACTCTTCAGTTTATATTGTATTTATGAGGAATATTGGTCATTGTTGAGATATAGAATAATAATAAATGATTGATCGAACTTGTTCAATTGACAATAAGTCAATAAGATTATTTTCAATAACGATTCAAATATGTGAATAGACCAGAATGATCAATGAGGCGGGAAAGGCATCAACACCTATATATATATATATATATAAAAGCTACTTAGTCACTTTTATTAAAAAAAGTGATGATAGTCGATTATCAACACATCATTTCAATAGTGAAATGCACGTTTTTTTCTTCTTCTTTTTCAATTTCATCTGTCAAATGAATACTGAACTAATTGATAACATTCAACTATAACAGATGCAAATAAAATCAATGAATCGACGATAAACGTATATAGGAATGAATAATTATACATTTCTATAATGATCGTCACACATATTCTCTCTTTTCTTTCTTCTTTTGCATAGGAATATTATATAGAAACAAAGAAGAAAAAAAAACTCGTGTATAGACATAACACAAAGAAAGATAAATGAATATATCCAATGTTTGTTTCTTTATATTATGAGAAAAAAAAAAATCTAATCATCGTATTGAGCAATAGATTTTCTCTTTTATTGATAGAATAATATCAAACAAATCAAGTATGTTTCATTTATATATAATTGCATTCATTCTATTATTATTATATATTCTTAGAAATAAATCAACAGCTCACTTTCGATTTGTTTTCTTTTAATTGAATACTCATCGAATAAGAAAGTGAACAAACAAATCTTATCTTAATAATATATAGTAAACACAAATATTAAATGAAATAGATCACAACTGAATTATGATTTATTCAATGAGAATTTATTTTCTTTTATTATTAATTCGAATAATAGTTACATTTGAATATGATAATGATCAGAATGAACAACAAATAGAAAATGATATGAGTAAGTCAATTCTATACTATAATTATTATATTTTATCGTCTTATCAGTTATTTTTTTTTTCCATAATCAGTAAAACTTTTGACAAGTCTCGATCATTATTAAGAAAACATATTTCTATAAATAATGTTGTCTATTTATATAACATTATCTTTTTAGTTGACACGATTTTTTAGTGTAGAAAAAAAGATAATTTAGTTGATTGAATAATATTGATTTTGTTTAATGTAGATTATTTTGAAAATGTTGTTATATCAATCATTATTTATTTCTCTTGTCAAGGATATATATATATATATATGTATATTCTGTAATCATCCAAGGTTATTACAAAAAATGATAATTCATTTTCTTCTCTTTGCCTTTCAAATAATATTCTGTTACTTTGATTTTTTTTTTTTGATTAGTAATTATATTAATCGAGCAAGCAGTAATGTTTTAGACATTAATATCTGTATAAACAAAAGGACAGTAAAAGACCATGATTTGTCAATGACAATGTATTACATATGGGAAATAAAAAAAAAAGCAGATATTATACCAACTGATGAATCAAGAAGAGAACAAATGATAAATCTGTTTATTCTAAGATATCAAGTGAGAGATAAAAATCTAAAGATATTGCATCAACGAAATTATTTTATTCTCACCGAATTCATTGTTAATAATGATTTTTAATCAATGAGTTATTTAGAAAAAAATTTAATTCTCTTTAAATAAATTTCGATATTAAAATCATTATCACTCGTTCAGTTAACCTTAGCTTGGGATGAATTTTATTCATCCATATCAATACTGTCAATTACGTTTATTATAGCTAATTAACATCGAGCATTCTATGGAAGCTGGTATCCCTTTCGTTATAGAAATATAATTTCTATCATCACAATTTTCAATTATTTTTATTAGACAAACAAAACAAATAATCAAAATTGAAACTATCTTCTTTATATCCATGTAATTCGTGTCCTTAACCATTTAGAAAAGAAATATTGTTATATTCATAAGATAATCTATATAATTAGAGTTACATATGTTTTTAAACCTTGTAAACAATTGTGAGCACGGAATATATTATCTCCTTAGAATCTCTATTCATATATTGATCGTGTCAGTTACTCAATCAGATTGTTCAATCAGATATATCTTTGAGCAAAACTGTTAATTGCAACAAATCTGAACGAAAATCATCATAGTCGATAGAGCTCGACGAGCTAATCATTATGGTATAATGTCTTTTTTTTTCTTTCAAACAACCTTCTCATTGAGATTTCAGATCAAATATACTCGACCAAATATCAATTACAGAAACTCCTCCAAACATTCTCGATGAATTTATCTACTCGATCACTGTTATTATGTTACATCATCTGCCTTTTTTAAAATTAATAGTGACATCATAACTGTTAAGTGTATGTCTTAGCTGTATAATTTTTCAAGTATTGTTTCTCGCCTTATCTCGATAATTTTCAGGTGAGAGTCAATTCTTTCCTTGTTTTATTTAATTATTGTTTATTGTTTAGTAGAAAGAAAACGAATCAAGTATTCATTTTCTTAGACTTTCTACATGCCAATTGTCTTGATTCTAGTCAACTTATGTCTATATTAATCGTTTTCGTATGTAATAGAAGAGAGAAGGTCAGCTTGGTACAGAGTTCTTCTATTCAATTGCTTTAGCTTCTCTTACATACTAACTACAAGAGCAGGTGTATGCCACCATATAGTCGTCATATTGTAGGAAGGGTGATCTAAGGCAAACAGTCTTTAGTAACTTGTTCAGGGTCATTTCATGACTGATCGTATTGAGGATTGGGGATAGAGACTTGCGAAAAACTCCGAAATCCGAGAATCAGTTTCAGGACAATAAACTCAAATTGAACATCTTTTGACTATAACATTAGAAGGATCGACTACATAAGAACATAATGGTATTAATCAATTATTATTCTGAATCAGCATGAAAAACTGA